TGGAGATATTTCTCAATGGAAGCCTTCACCAGTTTATAAAATATAGGGGATTTTTTAACAGACACCTCCATGTGGTTATAAAACTGGAGGAATTATTTCAACATATTCCTCTATCAGATTATAAATTTGGGCAAATTTTTAAACAGAAGCTTTTTTTAAATCAAAAAGCTCAACACTGACGCCAGAGTAACTAACAACGATTGCTTGAAAGAAGCTAATGAAAGTAAATCTCTAAATACAACAATAAGAAAGAGACAAACTCTGTTCTTTGGCCAAATAATGAGAAGAAAGACATTAGAGAACATTGTGACAACTGGAAAGATCAATGGAAAAGGGGGTAGAGGCAGACCAAAAGAGATGATGCTGGATTGGCTGAAACGATGGCATGGAGGGATATCATCAAGACAGCTGTTCCAGTCAACCAGAGATCATGATCTGTGGAGACGTATGAGCGCCTAGGCTGGTTGGCAGGGGGCACGATTATGATGATGATGAGACATTTCTCAACAGATAGTATTAAGATAAATGTTGAACTGTGACCTTACAAGAAACATTTTTTTTTTTAATATTTAATTATCAAATAATGCAGATATTTGTTTTCAACAGTTGCTCCCTTCTAATTCTAAAACTACAAATATTTTCTACCAGAAGCACCAATGTGCTAAAATTAAATGCTCTATTTCATAAAACCAAGATCACAAAATATCAAACAGTGATGAGACCAACTGTTCGTTCTAGCGCTGAAACCTATAGAAATACAAAAGGGGGGGGGGGGGTGTTATTAAAAACATTTGAGAAAAGTCTAAAAAAATCTCTGGATCCATCAATGATGCAAACAGTTGAAAATGGACAGTCAGAAGCAACAATTAAATTCATAATCTGTTTAAATGACCACTAATTACTAGCATCCTTAGTGTGAATAGATTGGTTGGGGCATATAGAGAGTGTGGCAGATAACAGACAGACAAAAACTGCACACATAAAAGAGTTAAATTGAAGTAGACCACGAGGTAGACCATAATATACAGGCAAGACAGAATGAGTCAAGAGGTGAAGAAAAGTTGGCATTGCATAGGACACACAATAAGAAATCCTGAGAACAATATAACTAGAACATCTTTGCAGTGGAACCAACAGGGGAATAGAAATAAAAGCAGACCAAAAACACACATGGAGACGGGAGCTAAAAAAATGAAGTTAGACAGGGATGACATTCGGTGAGCTGCATGCCATAGGATAGGACAATTCTGGGATATACAAGAGATACCCCAGTAGTATGTATGCGATACATACTTGCAATGCCTACTATTGCAGAAAGGCTCAAAGTTTTGCAAGCAAAGTCATATCTCAGAGTAGCTGCAGACAAGAAACACCTCCTGCATGAAGCCCTGGGTACAGCTAAAAGTCACAGACTGAAAAAAAGGAAAGTCTTGGATGGGGAAGGCAGAAGACACAATTGAAAATGTGTGCAGCTTGATAAATTTAGGCGAGGAGAGGAGTGGGTCAAGGCGCATGAGCAAATTTCAGGCTTGTTTAGGATTCTAACCACTTTAGGTTCTGAGGGGCACTGGCCAGCTGGTGCTGCAGAATCAGAAGTTCAACAAATGATTCATGACAATTCCCACCCAAGTGAAGTCATCTATACAAATGGCTCTGTGTTGAGAGGCAGATAAAGTGCATGGTGGTTCATAGCAAAAGCGAATGGACATCGCTTAGTGCAACAAAGCCTTGCATATGATATCACAATGTCTAGTTTGAGAATGGAGGTGGAGGCAGTCAATGTTGCCTTACGCTGGCTTGAGAATCAGCTGTACACACATGCCGTGATTGTAACTGACTCATAGAGCATGTTGATAAAGGTGGAGACAGGCATGCTCCATGCAGAGTGGCATCACTTAAGAGGTCCAGGGTAGTTAGTATCATGTGGATATTTACACCAGGTCATGCTGGTGTGTTGGGAAATGAGCAGGCTTTGCACCACTTGGCAAACCACTGTTGTAGGACAAGCAAGATATTGTGAGAGCCCTTTGGAAAAGAGTGAAAAGAGTGGAGGCACAGACAAATCATTACATTCTGAGGAGAATGGCACTGGGAGTAGTTACCAGGAGATGTGGCAGACGCTCAACATTCAATGGAAGGGCAAGACACACACAATCAGAACTGGTGAATACAACTGGTGCCATCAGAACTGCTACTCTTCATTCACTGCTGAAGATGGGGACAGTGCAATTATGTGGGTGTCTTGAGTGCTGTGATGTCGATTCTAAATTCAACATTAAACATAGCGGTGACTAAATTTGCTAATAAATTACATTTAAAGGGTCCCTTTTAAAAAAAAAAAGCCTTATTTAATAGAAATTCCTAAATCAATATTTTTTCCAACTGGTACAGTGGTTGGTTACAGGGTGATCGGGTCACAGGGTCACAGGGTCGAGTGCCATGCTATTATTAGTCTACAGGCTCCAACAAATGTAAGCCAGCCGATTCTAGGCTACACATGTTTTTACTGACTACTCCCCTTACTCTGTATAGTATTTGTTTTCGATGATAAAATGATTTTGTGTGATTTTCGTGTGTGTGTGTGTGTGTGTGTGTGTGTGTGTGTGTGCGTGCGTACGTGCGTGCGTGTGTGTGTGACATGTAAAATTGTTGTTTTCCTAAGGATATTTATCAAGAATATCTCAAAATTGAAAGCATTGGAATTTGGCTTTTTTTTTATATATTTTTTTTTCTAGGTCACTAAGGGGCCTTTCTTGTTAACTCTTTTAGTACCAAGCAACACATCATGCACTCGTTATGTTTCTTCCGACATGATCTACTTTCCTCAACTTTATGTGCCCAACCCCATCAAGGTGCTACACTAAACACCTCTGCTACAACTGTCACTTCAACCTCTCATGTGTCAGTCACCTTTACTTCTAAACTTAAAACATCAATAATTAGTCGAGGTTCAAACTTCACTGCGAACATGTCTCCCTATAAGTGTCCCATTCTTGCGCCAGTGGAAATCCCACAAAATGCCCATTAATGTCCCATTTAAAAAAACCTAGTGAAAAACGTATAAGTCCCAGCAAAATGTCGGAAGCTTGCACACACAAACTAAATGCATAAGGAAACCATTAGATGTGCTAATACTAACAGTTTACCACCACAATTGCAGCAAACGGTTGATGCAAAGCAGTCAGTCAAGAAAGCCGGTATTTATACATGCAATACTGCATTCCAAATGTAATTGGGCACCCGCCATTTTTTGTGCCAATTCACAATACAAAATTGCCACATGTATAGCAGAAAAAAGAACATTCTATATAAAATCTACAGTTTGCGGAGCTGCAAAAAGCACTCAACTCAGTAGCTAGATAATAGAACCTCAAGTTTAAACATTTATAAATTAAAGTAACAGCTTTTAAAGATATCATGTATTCAAGTGAAACTTGCCAGGTACTAAAAGCAGTCAAACTTGCCAGTCCTAATCTCGTTTCCTTTTCTTCCTAAACAGTTTTGAAAACTGTTTGGTGCCAGTCTGTGTAAGGCTCCATTTACCCCTGTCCCGTACCGGTCAGATAAACCCTCCTGCCCCCTTGGAGACTGAAGCCAGATCAATGTCTTAGCAGGCATGGCTACAAAACCACTGAGCAACTACAGTTCCTGTTGTTAGTGGGTAGGTTTTCAATGTTGAATTGTACATTTTCAAAGACTGAGAAATCTGTAACCTGAAAACTCAAGACTGCGGGGCTAACTCAGCTGTAACATACTGTGCAGGTAAGAATCCCTAAATCCATAAGAATGCTATAAAACAACACCTACTGTAATAAACGCTAATTGAGGATTACTATGAGAATTCATTAGTGTAGATACTATTCATAAGCATCTTGCAGATTATTTTTCATTTAGAATTATTCCTACTTAGTTTCTTTCATGACCCATAAAAATAGTGATAGTTTTTATCTACATTGTACAGAAAATAAATTTTCCTCTTGGGTTCCTTTTCCGATACACAGAAATACGGTGTCAGCCTCAATCTACATTCTACAGATGCCAGATTATTTCTCTCTGGTTCCTTGGTGATACACAGAAATAGTGCCATCTTGAATCTACATTCCACAGATGCCAAATTAAGAAATATAGTGTCAGCTATAGTTTACATTCTACAGATGTAAATTATTCCTCTAGGGTTCCTTTGTGATGAATAGAAATAAAGTGTAAGCTTTAATCTACATTCTACAGGTGACAAATTATTTCTCTTGGATTCCTTTGTGGTACACAGATATACACTTTTTTTTTAAAAATGACCTTGGCTCCCAGGTCGACCTAACCTTGAGAGGGTACCGGATGCAGTCCCGGAAAGTAGAGGCAGTCGGCGTGATGCTGACCACATCTTGTGCTGATTGGTCTATAAAATATAGGTCTAGCCCTATATGCCCTATACACCTACAGGCGTGGAAAAGGGTCCTTTACTTTTTACTTACACAGAAATACAGTGTCAGCTTCAATCTACATTCTACAGATGTAAATTATTCCTCTTGGGTTCCTTTGTGATGCATAGAAATAATGTGTAAGCTTCAATCTACATTCTTCAGGTGACAAATTATCCATCTTGGATTCCTTTGTGGTACACAGAAATACAGTGTCAGCTTTAATCTACATTCTACAGATGCCAAACTATTCCTCTTGAATTCCTTTGTGATACACATAAATATAGTGTCAGCTTTAATCTACATTCTATATATGCCAAATTATATTATTTCTCTTGAGTTTCTTTGTGATACACAGAAATACAGTGTCAGCTTTAATCTACATTCTGCAGATGACAACTGACCTTACAAAATACTGTTAATGGCTGTGCAAAATGTGATCCCTTTAATATGAAATCTGGTCAGCCTTCAACAACAGGCTGTACTGGAATAAAGCTTCAGTGCTTGGAAGCAGATTCTCAAAGGATGTAAAGCAGGAGTGTGGAGAAATCCCCAAGTAGGCAAGCACAGTTCTGGAGTTTGTTCTCATTTTTCCTTCATGATTTTCGAAGCAACCTTTTCCTGAAAGAAGTTGATATAAAGCTGAGTGCTGAGAGCGGAGTTCAGGCTCATCCTCTGTGGAGCCTTAGCAAATCGAGACCAGGAGTCGGTGCTTGGCTGATATAGCCACATTTCTTCTTCTGTTGCACTGTGATGCTCATGACCCAAAGAAAGAATCCGTCCATCATCCAGGACAAAATAGTGACCAACAGAACGGCCGCCCAGGGTTGATGACAGCATAGTCCACTGGTTTGTGGTCATGTCAAAGCATTCTATAGGGATTTGACCGTATAGTGGAATTCCCTGACGAGTGATGCCACCAAGGGCAAAAATCTTTGACTCATGTGCAATCATGTCGTGTAGCCGCCGTGGGTAGAACATGCTAGGTTTAGCTTCATATCGTCGTGTGACTGGGTCATAGCTTAAAAAGCTGGCCACTATTGCTCTGTCCTGACCTGAAACCCCACCAGATAAATATATCTTGGAACCATGTGACACTGCTGCAAGTGAATGAGTGGGTGACGGCATTGGCTGCAGCTCATCCCAAGTATTAGACTGCACATTGTAGCACTCTACAGAGTCCAGTATTGCAAACTGTTCCGTGGTGCCTCCAAAGGCATACAAACATCTAGCATGTGAAACACATGCAAATTCCAGTCTTAACCTCCTCATTGGCCGCAACTCCTGACCAACCATGTGTCTAGGATCAAACCTGAACAGAGAACTCATCAGAGTCCCACCTCCAAAATCCACAACACGGCAAATGTAGGCAAAGTTATCCACTGACGCCACCCTGCATTCGCGGATGCCGTTGACGTCGCAGAAGAGGCAATAGAAAGATTTGGAGCTGGCGCTGAATGCTGTGATCTGAAAAGGCATGTGTGATGTCCCCAAGTGAACCATGATGATTGATGCTTTCTCAGCTCGAACTTTACAATGTTCATCTATTGTCGGGTGACCTTAAGAAGAGAAACAATAATCATATACAAAAAATATTTCATAAGTTTTTACAATCGAGAGAATGAACTTCACTGTGCAAAGCTAGATTCCATACGGCTATCTACAGAGTGGTTAGTTGCTTGCAAGAGCACTGCACAGAGTATGAAATCTGGTAGGGTATGAACTTTGTGGGAGTATAAACTATATGGCCCTGGGGGGAGAGGGGGGGGGGGGGGAATAACAGACCTACAGCTCTTTCAACAACCATGTCGTAAAGACAACTAATTAAGGGTGTTGCTGAAATTGAATGAGCTGGGATGAACTGCACAGATACTGCAGCCTAGCTGTAAACCACAACACAAAGTGCTAAATACCATTAGGGTGAATGATGAAGAAGAAGAAAAAGAAGGAGAAGAAGAAGAAGAAAAAGAAGGAGAAGAAGAATAAGAATAAGAAGAAGAAGTAGGAGGAGGAGGAGGAGGAGAAGGAGGCGGAGGAGCAGCAGAAGAAGGATGAAGGAGAAGGATGAAGGAGAAGGAAGAAGGAGGAGGAGGAGAAGAAGAATGAGAGGAGGAGGAGGAGGAGGAGGAGGAGAAGAAGAAGAAGAAGACACACCCCTGCGGCCTGAATGTCTTGGGTTAAAATCTTCTCCAGCCAGGAAAGAGGTGCCAGGGAGGACTGAAAAAGCGCTATAAGGACACTCTGAAGACTGTTTTCAATTCTTTTGGCATCAACACAGCGACGTGGGAGGCTGTTGTACAAGACTGTTCTTGATAGCGTACATTCCTAAGGCATGGTGCTTCTGCCTGCCTGGCAGGGGAGGTTGCACAGGCAGAGAAATGGAAGCAGACTAGAAAGAATCGTACTGCTAATCCCACACTTACTGGGACTTCCATCTGTTGTCTGCACCTTTCAAGAACTTTCCTGGTTCATATTGGACTAATCCGCCACCTTCGTACTCATAAACATTGATCATCACTACTTTGGATGAAAGTGGTCTTCATCACTCGTGATGGACGAACAATACTGTGTAATACTAATGCCAAGATCATAATAGTGCACCCCATAAGTCCCTCCACAGTGACTGAATATTTGTATTGTAATATTTGTTTCGCAGGCGTCAGAGTTCATCTAAATAATACTGCTGTAGTGTTGCATATTTTGAGTAAATAAGCACTTGCCACATTACAACCCCCATTTATAATAGACGCTAGAAATATTCACAGTGGGTCTCCAGGCATGTCTTGATACACTTCTTCAGATTATGGAAGACCTTCTGCAGGTCGAGCTGTGAAATTATATTATTGTTAGCAGTGATTGATGTTTCAAGTTCATCACGTGTGCGGGGATTGTTTGCATCAGTTTTTCCCTTTAAGTGTACGCCACAGATAACAATCAAGGTCTGGACAGCAGGCCATAGTCCTCGTGAGATTAAGCAATTTTCTTCAGTTGTGTGTGTGGTTGCACCATATTGTTGGAATCAGACTTGTACTTTTTTAAGCTCAGAAAGATGTTCAATGAAATGTTAAAGAAAGTCAGTTCGGTAAAGAAGATGGGTCAAATTATGCATATATGACTAATGGTACAACGGCACACACCACACTCCAACTATTTTATCATAGAAAAAAAAATTATGGGGATTTTCATGACTCCAGAGATAATTATCCTGACTGTTTGCTTGTCTGGAAAGATTAAACCACGCCTCGCCTATGAAGAAGTTAATCATCAAGTAGACTGTTTGCTTGTCTGGAAAGATTAAACCATGCCTCGTCCTCGTCTATGAAGAAGTTAATCATCAAGTAGACTGTTTGCTTGTCTCGAAAGATTTAACCATGGCTCGTCCTCTCGTCTATGAAAAAGTTAATCATCAAGTAGTTCCTCATCTGCATTAGCTAACAATTAAGAAACCATGTGCAGTAGTTTACTCAAGAATGGTGATCTAATTTTTTTTCAACTGAGGCTGAACTGAGAACTTTTATCAATAGTACTTCAATTTCGTCATAAGAATCCTATAAACAGTCCTCGACATGTTGATTCCTCATAAGATTATGCGACTTGCAAAGATACTCTCTAAGAAAAACAGCAATGCTTCATGTGTGTGCAGTTGCACCATACTGTTGGAATGGGGCTGGTATTATTTCATCTCAGAAAGATGTTCAATAAAATGTTCAAGAATGTCAGTCCGGTAAACCTCTGCATTTATATTACCACTGAAGAATATGAGTCAAATTATGCATACATGACTTATGGCACACCAGACTCCAACTTTTTGATCGTCTGTCAAGAAGGTCACATCAAGGATTTGCTCATCTTCATAAACAAGACAATTATGAAAAAAAATTTGCCGTAGTTCACTTGAGAAAGGTGATCTATTTCTTTCATTTGAGGCAAAACAGACAACTTGTATGGATGATACTTCAACTTCAGAATCTTGTAAACTGTACATGTGTAAATTCTGAGTTAACTGTCTTGCAGACTTTTTTGGACTCATAAGTACACTGTCCTGGATCTTAGGGGAAATTTCTTCACACAAGTTTACTCGAGAAAGGTGATCTATTTATTTAATTTGAGGCAAAACAAACAACTTGTTTGGATGATACCTCAGAATCCTGCAAACCATACTCATTGACACAAGTAAATGTTGAGTCAACTGTCTTAGAGACTTTCTTGGACTCATAAAGTATACTGTCCTAGATCTTAGGCGATTTTTCTTCATACCTCATGCAGGCTGCCAAAAATGTAGTAATTAATAATTAAATTTGTGTGATTTTGTGATCGGGAGCTTGATTACTGGGAGAAAATCTGCACACATTGTCCAGTACATTCCACCGTTATGGAACAAAAACTTCACCAAAAAATACTCTCTCCTCAGTTGGTTACATTATCCTTGTTTAAGAAAAACAGGAGCCTCTTCAGACAGCAGTAAATAACTGACTTTGCTTCACATTACGAACCATAAAACTCTCAAGCTATTATTTAGCAACTTTAACTATGGAGGGACTAATATAAAACCCTATATTCAAAACACTGACAAGACCAGTTGTCCTATATGGCTCTAAAACCTGGAGTACAACTAAAAGAGATAAGGACTGATTATAAACTTTTGCAAACACAGAGTCTAACAATGATTATTTAGACCCCAAAAAATGCAAACAGATAGCACTTTAATGTCCCATGTTGATTCTGAAGCCTCATTTTGTAGGGGAAACATAACACACCCACTGTCTCTTAGCAAACCCAACACACAAGATTCACTTGGCTTCCAGGTGGGGCCTTTGAAAGGATGATGCATTCCTCGGGACTACAGGAGTTAAGATGTGACATCAATTATTATCTTTTTGTGGATAAATTATTGGACACATTTAAAAAAAATTGTGAATTTTTTTTATGATAAAAAAATGTATATTTACTATCCATCAGATAATGGCGAACACTTCTTCTGTGGCAGTTAGTATCCTGTGTTGTGGTTTACATTTAGGTTGCGATGTCTGTGCCTTTTGGCCAAACACATCCGCTTTCAGAATCCTTAATTACTTGCTATTTATGACATGCCTTTCAGGGGCAGTTAACCCCCCCCCCCCCCCCCCCCCCCCCATCCCCTAGGTGTTAGGGAACCTACACAGGGAAGAGAATAGTGTGAATTCAAGAAATTCACACACACACACACACACAAAATAAGAGAAATGTCTGGACAACCGATGGTAACTAAAGTTATAAGACAAAGAAGCTGATGATATACTGGACAAATCGTGAGGAAAGGTGGACAGAGAATATTAAACAGGCAGTGTGATAAAAAATAATAGATTGAGAAAATTAGGACATCCAAGAGAAACCGACAGTGTAATGGGAAACAAATGGACTGAGAAAATGAGGACATCCGAGAGAAACTCACGGTGTAATGGGAAACAAATGGACTGAGAAAATGAGGACATCCGAGAGAAACTCACAGTGTAATGAGAAACAAATGGACTGAGAAAATGAGGACATCCGAGAGAAACCCACAGTGTAATGGGAAACAAATGAACTGAGAAAATGAGGACATCCGAGAGAAACCCACAGTGTAATGGGAAACAAATGGACTGAGAAAATGAGGACATCCGAGAGAAACCCACAGTGTAATGGGAAACAAATGGACTGAGAAAATGAGGATATCCGAGAGAAACCCACAGTGTAATGGGAAACAAATGGACTGAGAAAATGAGGACACTCAAAAGAAACCCTTAGATGACGTTAATTAGAAAGCTCAAAGGTGCTGAACTGGATTCCGTCCATGAAATCGAAAAGGTTCCACAGTACACAATGGAACAGAGGAATAGACTGACATATGGAGAAAAAAAACAGTATGACGATGATGTGTTAATGGTATCGGAGCAATGACTGTTTTTACTGAAGTGCAATGATGTTAACTCTTAGTTATGTATCCACACCATTATCAAAATCAAGGCAAAGCCGTCTACTACAAAATCACAGCAGCTGGAATTCAATCGGGTGCCTCAGCATTACAAGCTTACATTCATGTAAATCTCCTTAAAAGCTTCCAGTCAATAGTGGCGGCAGACAGCTGTGATTTTTTTATGACCGCGTCATTTTCATGTTAAAGATGTACAGCTTTTCCCTCTTGCATGTAATAATCTGTGCCAGGATGTAAATTAGTTTTTCTATGCCTAAGCCCTTCACTTTTAACACACACAAAAATTACCCTACACAACATCCCTTGTTGGCCTGTCCTGGTCTGTCTATTAGGCCTTCCAATCCCATATATAACATGCATGCCCTCCTAAACCCGTCCTATGTCTAATAAGCCTCCTAAACACATATAGCTCACCTTTTTTACTATCCATGTGATAATGGTAGCCTTTGGCCACCAGCTGCTGACCCACAGGGCATCTCTTGACCACATCATTGTCCCGAATGGCCGTCAGTTCTTGCTCAGACATCAGGCCAAACCTCAAGTTGCTGAGACATTTTGTGGAGTCTGCAGTTACACGGTTTGGCTGGTGTCTAGGTAAGCAAACAAAGAGTTCAAAAAGAATAATCTGCATTATGGTCCAACTGGCAGCAACACATATGTGGATTTAAATCAAGGACTATCTGGCAATCACAAGGGAAGAAACTTTGGAAATTTGAGCTGAAATGACACAGAAATATAGAATTTAGTAGACCAAGGAAAAATACTGGCATCCTAAAAGATCTGAACATTAAGAAAAATTGGTTCATAAAAAGCACCTTGTCTCAGAAAAAGAAATACTTTGACCATATCAAGTCCCATGGTGTATAACAAAGAACAGTAGGGGAGGGAATCGTACTGTGTAAGTGACAGGGAAAGACCAGTAAAACGTCGGGCAGAGGACATAAGAGGCAATCTAGGCAAGAGAGTTTATGAGGCAGGACAGCTGACGATGGAACGAGTTTCTTTGAGGCATGCTGTGATGAAAGCAGCATTCTATCAAGGACTTTAGAATGATGTCAAATTTGTTGCTATATTATATGGAAGAGCTTTGTTCTGCATGGCAAGAGAATGATCTGTTATCAGGTGGTTTATCCTCATGGCACTCCAAAAACACACATATATGGTAAGGTTCCCCCATCAACATATACATCAGCACCCGCAGTTAATACTGCAAGTTCTATGCTAGTTGACAAGGCATTTCAATTGTCTGGTGTGCCTCTCACGCCTGGCTACGCCAAACTTTACTCCCGATTCTCACATTCTTAGCAGCGATGTGGATGCACCACTCCAAAATTCTGTAATCATCCTCTTCATCTCTAGAGGCACTGAGAATTCTGGCACTGCGATCAACAGACTGGCTTTCTGTAACTATGGACAAGCCAGCTAATCTATCAGCTCTTTCACTGCCAAGAACATCTTCATAACCTGGGATACAGAAGAAGGTAACTCAACAGGTATACAATAGCAGTGATCTGAGTTCAATCTCCAGCAGAAGCAAGGTTATTTTCCTGACCAGTACAGCTCCAGGGTTGATCCAATAGCACAAAACGGGAGAAGGGGAGGAAAAGAAGGACAATAAAAAACAAGAGGAGAAAGAGGAAGAGGAGAGGTTAAAAATTAGGAGAAGGAGGAAGAACAAACAGATTTTAAAAATAAGAAGAAAAGGAAAAAGAAAAATATTTTAAAAAAAGAAGGAGAGGAAAAAGAAAATAATGGAGAGAAGAGGATAAAAAAGAACAGGACAAGGAGGAAGAGGATGAACAAAAAAGGAGAAAGAAAATGATTTTTAAAATGGAAGAAGACGATTAACAAGAAGAGGAGGGGACATTATGAAAAAGAGAGGATGAACAAGAAGAGGAAGAGAAAAAGGATTAATAAGAAGAGAAGGAGAAAGAAAAAGAGGATGAGAATGAAAAAAGAAGAGGAGGAGGAGGAAGAAGAAGAAACAGTAGCAGACACAGAAAGAAGAAGAAATATATACATGCCAAAGTAAGAAATGCAGCCGAAGCCTCAAACCCCGGACTAGCAGAACAAAACTTAAAACAACAAACCTCAACCACTTTTCCACAATCAGGAAGAGTTGATATTCCGATGGAACTCGTAATTTATCCTGCGCCAGATGATATGCAAATTTCTCTCCATCCATTTTCAAAAATGCCTATGGAGGAAAAACAAAGATAAAAAAACTGCTTGTTAATCCAAATGAAATGTATCATGTTTAGACAGCAACAATTTCTTACCCTTCCATCTGTAACACTGAGTGCGCTTTTTCTAATAATGATTTCTTACCCTTCTATCTGTAACACTGAGTGTGCTTTTTCTAATAATGATTTCATACCCTTCTATCTGTAACACTGAGTGTGCTTTTTCTAATAATGATTTCTTACCCTTCTAACTGTAACACTGAGTGTGCTTTTTCTAATAATGATTTCTTACCCTTCTATCTGTAACACTAAGTGTGCTTTTTCTAATAATGATTTCTTACCCTTTTAACTGTAACACTGAGTGTGCTGTAACACTGAGTGTGCTTTTTCTAATAATGATTTCTTACCCTTCTATCTGTAACACTGAGTGTGCTTTTTCTAATAATGATTTCTTACCCTTCTATCTGTAACACTGAGTGTGCTTTTTCTAATAATGATTTCTTACCCTTTTATCTGTAACACTGAGTGTGCTTTTTCTAATAATGATTTCTTACCCTTTTATCTGTAACACAGTGTGCTTTTTCTAATAATGATTTCTTACCCTTCTATCTGTAACACAGAGTGTGCTTTTTCTAATAATGATTTCTTACCCTTCTATCTGTAACACTGAGTGTGCTTTTTCTAATAATGATTTCTTACCCTTCTATCTGTAACACTGAGTGTGCTTTTTCTAATAATGATTTCTTACCCTTCTATCTGTAACACTGAGTGTGCTTTTTCTAATAATGATTTCTTACCCTTCTATCTGTAACAATGAGTGTGCTTTTTCTAATAAGATTTCTTACCCTTCTATCTGTAACACTGAGTGTGCTTTTTCTAATAATGATTTCTTACCCTTCTATCTGTAACACTGAGTGTGCTTTTTATAATAATGATGTCTTACCCTTCTATCTATAACACTGAGTGTGCATTTTCTAATAATGATTTCTTACCCTTTATCTGTAACACTGAGTGTGCTTTTTCTAATAATTATTTCTTACCCTTCTATCTGTAACACTGAGTGTGCTTTTTCTTATAATGATTTCTTACCCTTCTATCTGTAACACTGAGTGTGCTTTTTCTAATAATGATTTCTTACCTTTCTATCTGTAACACTGAGTGTGCTTTTTCTAATAATGATTTCTTACCCTTTTATCTGTAACACTGAGTGTGCTTTTTCTAATAATGATTTCTTACCCTTCTGTCTGTAACACTGAGTGTGCTTTTTCTAATAATGATTTCTTACCCTTCTATCTGTAACACTGAGTGTGCTTTTTCTAATAATGATTTCTTACCCTTCTATCTGTAACACTGAGTGTGCTTTTTCTAATAATGATTTCTTACCCTTATATCTGTAACACTGAGTGTGCTTTTTCTAATAATGATTTCTTACCCTTCTATCGTTAACACTGAGTGTGCTTTTTCTAATAATGATTTCTTACCCTTCTATCATTAACACTGAGTGTGCTTTTCCTAATAATGATTTCTTACTCTTTTATCATTAACACCGAGTGTGCTTTTTCTAATAATGATTTCTTACCCTTCTGTCAGTAACATTGAGTATGCTTTTTCTAATAATGATTTCTTACCCTTCTATCTGTAACACTGAGTGTGCTTTTTCTAATAATGATTTCTTACCCTTCTATCAGTAACATCGAGTGTGCTTTTTCCAATAATGATTTCTTACCCTTCTATCAGTAACACTGAGTGTGCTTTTTCTAATAATGATTTCTTACCCTTCTATCTGTAACACTAAGTATGCTTTTTCTAATAATGATTTCTCACCCTTCTATCTATAACAATGAGTGTGCTTTTTCTAATAATGATTTCTTACCCTTCTATCTGTAACACTGAGTGTGCTTTTTCCAATAATGATTTCTTACACTTCCATCAGTAACACTATTTTTTTCTAATCATGATTTCTTACCCTTCTATCTGTAACACTGAGTGTGCTTTTTCCAATAATGATTTCTTACCCTTCTATCAGTAACACTGAGTATGCTTTTTCTAATAATGATTTCTTACCCTTCTATCTCTAACACTGAGTGTGCTTTTTCTAATAATGATTTGTTACCCTTCTATCAGTAACACTGAGTGTGCTTTTTCTAATAATGATTTCTTACCCTTGTATCTGTAACACTGAGTGTGCTTTTTCTAATAATGATTTCTTACCCTTCTATCTGTAACACTGAGTGTGCTTTTTCTAATAATGATTTCTTACCCTTCTATCAGTAACACTGAGTGTGCTTTTTCTAATAATGTTTTCTTACCCTTCTATCTGTAACACTGAGTGTGCTTTTTCTAATAATGATTTCTTACCCTTCTATCTGTAACACTGAGTGTGCTTTTTCTAATAATGATTTCTTACCCTTTTATCAATAACACTGAGTGTGCTTTTTCTAATAATGATTTCTTACCCTTTTATCAGTAACACTGAGTGTGCTTTTTCTAATAATGATTTCTTACCCTTTTATCAGTAACACTGAGTGTGCTTTTTCTAATAATGATTTCTTACCCTTCCATCAGTGACACTGAGTGTGCTTTTTCTAATAATGATTTCTTACCCTTTTATTAGTAACACTGAGTGCTTTTTCTTATAATGATTTCTTACCCTTCTATCAGTACCACTGAGTGGGGTTTTTTTTCTAATAATTATTTCTTACCCTTCTATCAGTAACACTTAATGTGCTTTTTCCAATAATGATTTCTTACCCTTCTATCAGTAACATCGAGTGTGCTTTTTTCCAATAATGATTTCTTACCCTTCTATCAGTAACACTGAGTGTGCTTTTTCTAATAATGATTTCTTACCCTTCTATCAGTAACAATGAGTGTGCTTTTTCTAATAATGATTTCTTACCCTTCTATCAGTGACACTGAGTGTGCTTTTTCTAATAATGATTTCTTACCCTTCTATCAGTAACACTGAGTGTGCATTTTCCAATAATGATTTCTTACCCTTCTATCATTAACACTGAGTGTGCTTTTTCTAATAATGATTTCTTACCCTTCTATCAGTGACACTGAGTGTGCTTTTTCTAATAATGATTTCTTACCCTTCTATCAGTAACACTGAGTGTGCTTTTTCTAATAATGATTTCTTACCCTTCTATCAGTAACAATGAGTGTGCTTTTTCTAATAATGATTTCTTACCCTTTTATCATTAACACTGAGTGTGCTTTTTCTAATAATGATTTCTTACCCTTCTGTCAGTAACATTGAGTATGCTTTTTCTAATAATGATTTCTTACTCTTCTATCTGTAACACTGAGTGTGCTTTTTCTAATAATGATTTCTTACCCTTCTATCAGTAACATCGAGTGTGCTTTTTCCAATAATGATTTCTTACCCTTCTATCAGTAACACTGAGTGTGCTTTTTCTAATATTGATAATAACTGGCTACAGAGGTCACTGAACTTCTTACGTTTATGACAACATAAGGTTGTGTATGTGTACCTATCATTATGGAAATACTGCAAAGGCAGATGAACCTTTTGAAATGGTGGATGCTTGAAAAAAGAAAAGCCTTGTGTATAAGTTGGAGTGCATCTGCCTGAGAGGCAAGGAACCAACAGTCTGTATATAAATAAGCCAGATATGGAAAAAATATGTGTTTGCAAAACTAAAGTTCCATAACAAGACCAATGTCCAGAATTGGACAAAAAACAACTTTCTTCCCAGATTAACGGCCGACAAGTCTAAGAAGCAGATGTATTTACTTGTGTTATTTTAAGCTACATGTTGTATTTATTTGTGTTATGTTAATCTAAATATTGTATCTACAATGTTAATTTAATCCAAATGTTGTATTTAACCTGTGTCATATTCTGCCATATGTTGTATTTACCCAAGTTAGGCTAACCCCTATCTTTTATTTACCTAAGTTATGTTAATCCACATGTTGTACTTACCCATGTTATGTTAATCCATATGTTGTATTTACTTGCCAATGTAACTTACCTGTGTGTTGCTGAACTCCACAAAGCGCTCATGAATCATGCTCTCCCAATATGTGACGACTGCTTCTAAGGAATACGTGTCCGCTATAGAGATCAGTTCCTCGTAGTTATCAAATGTTAGCAGCGACTGTGGACATAACAGTTGCATACATTAACACTGACTAATACCGCAATGTAAGAATTCAGAAACCTTACAGAGATGTCATCCATGTCAACATTAAGGAATTCTTTTTCATCTTATTCTCCACGTTCACTGGCTGTAAACTCCACAGAAAGTTCTAGTTGTCTTTAGGTTTCTAGACTTTAGTCATGTTCCGGAACCTGAGTTTTGTGAGCACGTCCGGTCTGCAGATCTGGCTTATAGGTGTGCAGACTGTTGGTTCCTTGCCCTTCAGGCAGATGTACTCCGACTTCAAAGAAAGCAGCAATAATTAGTCAACTTTTACAAGTTTGTTAGAGGCACTGGGTCGATTCTTCCTAACAATGGAGCCCCAGAAACCACACATGAGCATTTGAGAAGTACATGTAAAGAACCCGGCAGGGAATCCGTTTCTAGGATGCTCGTGTGCAGATGAAGATAGGTCTTAATTAGCCCTAGTCTTAATGGAGGTCCTACTGGGGGTGGTGATGGGTCCTACTGGAGGTGGTGATGGGTCCTACTGGAGGTGGTGATGGGTCCTGCTGGAGGTGGTGCTGGGTCCTACTGCAGGTGAGGATGGGTCCTACTGCAGGTGGTGATGGGTCCTACTGGAGGTGGTGATGGGTCCTACTAGAGGTGGTGCTGGGTCCTATTGGAGGTGGTGCTGGGTCCTACTGGAGGTGGTGCTGGGTCCTACTGAAGGTGGTGCTGGGTCCTACTGGAGGTGGTGCTGAGTCCTACTGGAGGTGGTGATGGGTCCTGCTGAAGGTGGTGACGGGTCCTACTGCATGTGGTGAGGAGTCCAACTAGAGGTGGTGACGGGTCCTGCTGGAGGTGATGATGCCTCCTCCTAGAGGTGGTGATGGGTCCTACTGGAGGTGGTGATGGGTCCTGCTGGAGGTGATGATGCCTCCTCCTAGAGGTGGTGATGGGTCCTACTGGAGGTGGTGAGGGGTCCTGCTGGAGGTGGTGCTGGGTACTACTGCAGGTGGTGATGGGTCCTACTGCAGGTGGTGCTGGGTCCTGCTGGAGGTGGTGATGGGTCCTGCTGGAGGTGGTGATGTGTCCTACTGGAGGTGGTGATGGGTCCTGCTGGAGGTGGTGATGGGTCCTTCTGGAGGTGGTGATGGGTCCTGCTGGAGGTGGTGATGGGTCCTGCTGGAGGTGGTGATGGGTCCTGCTGGAGGTGGTGATGGGTCCTGCTGGAGGTGGTGATGGGTCCTGCTGGAGGTGGTGATGGGTCCTACTGGAGGTGGTGATGGGTTCTACTGGAGGTGGTGATGGGTCCTACTGGAGGTGGTGATGGGTCCTACTGGAGGTGGTGATGGGTCCTACTGGAGGTGGTGATGGGTCCTACTGGAGGTGGTGATGGGTCCTACTGGAGGTGGTGATGGGTCCTACTGGAGGTGGTGATGGGTCCTACTGGAGGTGGTGATGGTTTCTACTGGAGGTGGTGATGGGTCCTGCTGGAGGTGGTGATGGGTCCTACTGGAGGTGGTGATGGGTCCTACTGGAGGTGGTGACTCACCTCTGCATCTTGCTTCTGGTTATATGAAAAGTCATTCTCACATTATTATTTTTTTAAATAATTTGTTTCTGTCTGTGCTTCTTTCTCCATTTCCTTTTTCTTTTACCTTAGGTCTTGAACAAAAATTAGTGATCGTACCTCTCCAATTCTCTGTGTAGAATGTTTTTTCTTTTTAATGAAGTTGATGTCACTGATATAATCTGATATTTACCACAAACTGTTTTCACATTTTCTTAAAACTTGTTATGTATCGAAAATCACTATCCTAACCATGAAATGTAAAAACTCAATACTCTATTACAAGTCGCTATCCGTGGCTTAGGCACTGTGAGTGCACCTAGTAATGCCAGGTTCAATCCAAGCTGCAGGTGATTTGGTAGCAGATCGCCTTGCTTTGGTTTTAACAGTAGTATCCAGAACTGACCATTCATAAAGCAATGACATACTAATGAAAGTAAATTTGCCTAATAAAACCACAACAGCTAACATTTAAAAAATGCTGGGGTTGGTTCTGCAACTTCCTGTAAAGGATCCGCAACTAACTAACCAACCAACTTAATAACTAACTAACTCTTTAACAAATACCTCCCACCAATAATTTTGTTATATAACTTATTCTTTCAAGGTACTGTTACAAAAATATTAGCTTACAATTCATTATTCTTACAATTCATTATTCTATCATAAAAGTAAAGTAAGTAAAGATTTCTTTTCACGCCTTTAGGTGCATCGGGTATATGGGAAGAGCACCCATATATTTACAGACCATTCGGCACTAGGTGGATAATGTGGTCAGCATTATGCCGGCCGTCTTTACTTCCCCAGGACATACATCCTGGTACCCATTTTAGGCTGGGTCGACCTGCGAACCCCCTATACCATGATAAAGATCCACTCAGCCAGCTGTGGGTTTTGATCGTGGTACGTTGGAATTACGAGTCGGACTCGCAAGGCCTAAGCCATGGACGCCGCATTCTATCATAAAAACATAAACATAATACTGATTTCATATAACTGAGTTTATCACAGTTCATGTTCATAACACTTTAAAAGTACATGATGACCAAACTTGTTTGGGTACCAAACAACGTGTCGTACTTATCTTGATCATTCTAAAGCTGACATACTGTTTTTGCATTATTCTTTAACACATAAATATTACAGTAGCTCACAGCATCCAGAGTGTCATTTTCACCATTTTTCTCTCACAATGTCTCTTGAATATTGTATTCAGACCTAAACATTCAATACTTTCAAGTACAACTATTTAGAACGGAACAAGTTTAAGCTCAACAGTCTGGGACGGAAAAAGTTAAAATACCAAAAGTAGAAGATAGTAAAACCACAAAAAAATTAAAATATATTTAATTTAACAAACAATTAATTTTAAAAATAAAAAGAAAAAAAAAAGAAACAACAGTGGGAAGCAATGAAATAAGCGAGACAGTAGGATCAACACGAAAAGAATAAATAAAAAGAAAAATAATTCAACTGTCTCAACTCTTTCAGTATCAAACAACTCACCAAAACTTTCTTGATCATTCTAAAGACAACAACATTTTCTTGCTGTCATCTACCAGAGATAAATGTTTCATTAACCCTATCACCCCAAAAAAAAGGCTAAATCTGTTTGTTACACAGCCCCCGAAATGCCGAAATATCAGCATTTCTGCAGTGACTTAAAGTTAACAAGTGTTGTTAAATGCTATTTGGTCCATGTGTGCCTGCATAGTGTTTAGTAGGCCTGGATGTGAGTCAAGTAAAAGACCTTTTCCCATGCCTTCAGGAGTATTAGGCATAGGGCCAGACCTATATTTTATAGGCCAATCAGCACTGGATGGGGGATGTGGTGAGCATCACATTGGCCACCTTTGTTTCCCCCGACTGTACCTGGTACCCACTTATGGCTCGGTCAACTTCGGAGACAAGGTCAGTTTTTTTTTTTTAAGTCCAGCTCCATCAGGACCTGAACCCACGACCTTCTAATTAATAGTTGAGTGTCTCTAGCCTCTACACCATGGCGGCTTCCAGACCCTAATGTGAACATATTAATTTTATATAGCATTTAGAGGTGTCCTTAAGAATCCAATAGCTTTTTCAAAGCCAGGCTGACTTTGAAATTTGCCTGTAAGCCTAAATTTACTGAAGTAGACTGAATTTACTGAAGTAGACTGAATTTACTGAAGTAGACTGAATTTACTGAACCAGACATATTTATCTACAGCACACACACACACAAAGATTTTTTTTTTTTGGGAGGCACACACACTTAAACACCAGTATTACTTTCAGACTAAGAAGCAGACTGTATAGGGGCTAAGATGTTTACTCTCTAAACTGGAGGAGCAGGTTTAAACTTAACTATGCCAAATGCTTTAACTCTTTCAGTACCAAGCAATCATCAAGCGTTCATTGGGTTGTCCAAAAAAAGCATACATTTCTGACTCTCTTTGAGCACAGACTGTTGTTAGAAACTCAAGAAACTATCCGAAATGTACGCACTGGCACATGCCGGGGTGAAAGGAAACAAAAGAGACAACAGATTGGCCATGTCTGCAGTGACTGGTGGAGGAAGAAGTATAGGCAGGGCAGGCATACTGAATGTTAGTGTTCTAGAGACTTTGAAAAAAAAATAGTTGAGACAATGAACCACCTGTTAGAAATGGGTATTATATGAGGATAAGCATGCAGAAACCAGTCGCGGGGCAACAACAAAAAAAGAAGAAGATATGCCAGTCGACTCCTACTGGTTATGTTGAGCACGGAGACACTGAGACGGCTTCTGCATCGGGAAACACAGTATAAATAGGTCGGATCGATATGTTAGGACGTCGATACAGACAACAAGCAACAGACTACTGTTACATCATTTCATTATACAGGAAAAGAGTTTTATTTCTTCTGACCAACAATGTCACTGTTTTAACTTGTTTGTACTCCAACATTGGCTAATTTAATGTAGAGCTTCTCAGGACAGAAAGTTAGAAGTAATCACAGGCTCGTACTGGACAAGTTATTATGTGCAGTCACTGCTGAGAATAAGCTGAAGTGCTGCATTAGTTAGTTAGTTAGTTAGTTAGTTGGGTTATCGTCATTGCACTCCGGACATGTCCATAGGTGCTCAGATCCTCCCCTCAGTATGAACCCCAACGTCCTATGGCTAATAGTACCAGTTCTATGTTGATTAACAAGTCTTCTGACGTGTCCGGTGTGCGTCTCGTTTTTTGCTGTGCCGATCTTAATTCCCAAGTCTGCCATCCTGGCGAGTGATGTGGATTCACTGCCACCAAAGTCCTCTATCCTTCCCATTTCTCGGAGGGCATTGATAATATCAGCATGATCCATAGGCCGACCGTCGGTAGTGATAGCAGATCCAGCCAACCTGTCAGCTCTTTCATTTCCATCGACGCCTGCGTGTCCCGGAACAAAAATAAAGGTGACTCCACGCACAGTGGACTTCTGTAATGATTCAAGCCATTGTCTTCGCACTGAACCTGCCTGAACCCTCCGGATCATACTCATTGAATCACTGAGTATACACACGTGGGTGTATTTTTGTGTTTCAAGCCAGGCAAAATGAAGTGCTGCATGTTGAAGACAAAGCCAAGTGCTCCTACCAGTAAGTCCTATCACAACACTGGAAGCTGTTCCAGGCACAAGCTTTAACTAAGTCATCATTCTTCTTCTTTCTTTCCCCTGAAATCAATTATCTATATCTACAATGTTGTCTCTAGTATGAACTTCACCGTGTTTTGTAATTTACTTAGTGGCCCATAATATTTGGTTTCCACCAGTGTCTCTCTTGGCCAGAAGTTTTGCTTGAAAATTTTGTATTTGTGACACCTTAGAGAGTGTGATCAGGTGTCTCAGGTGCCAGTCCACATATGCACATGATTGATTCGCCAATCTTAAATTATGTGTACATGTGGCTGCCAAGTCGACTGTGGCCTGTTCTAAGGTGTAGAATAATGATTTGCCCTGGTATTAAGTCATTTTGATGAAGAAACATTTGTCCATGAACCAAGGTGATAATTAACTATGACCACAAGAAAACAAAATGAAATCCTCGCTGGTACACTATGATGGCAGGGTTATGAAAAATCATTATTATCATGTGCCCTGCCAATAAGGATAGGCAGTCATGGTCTGCCAGCCTACATGATCACCAGAATCATAGATCAGGTTGGTCCTCTTGTCTGGCCCTATCAAATTGGCCAAGCCATCCAGGTATTTATCTTCCACCCCATTGGTCAAAGTGGTCAAGCCATTTTCTTCACGCACTGAATGTCGTGGGTTTATTTCATGGCTCCAGTTCATGAGTGCAATTTTTATGCAGATCCCTGAAGATCATCGCCGGAGCTATGTGGTTCGTGCTTTATGGCGCTCTCAGCAGGTGGCCAGTAGTTCTGAGGGACATGCGACTGGGCAATAGGGATAAAACCCTTTGCAATGATGTTGATCCTCTCACCTTTAAGCTACAGACTGTCTTTTAAATCCAGTGCCCCTAGAATCCTCCAATCCCTGTGTGGATTCCAGTGCCCCATTGTGGGGGAAACAAGAACAGATACACCGTTTCCCCAACAAGCATGTCGTTCGAGTCGACTAATTGGGGGCATCCTTCAAAGACAGAGTGCACCTGCCTGAGAGGCAAGGAACCAGTGGTTTGCATACCCAAAAAAAAGCCAGATCTGTAAAATGGATATGCATGCAACACTCAGGTTCTGGAGCAAGACTAGAGTTCCGGAGGTGGATGAACAGCCAGAACCTTCCACGAGAGTTCATGGGCAGTGAACGCAAAGAAGAAGAAGGAGGAGAAGGAGGAGGAGAAGAAGAAGAAATCAAAAACAAGAACAAAAAGAAGAACAAGAACAAGAATCCTTTCCAGAAAGTCTAACCCAAGCAACAAACGCCTGAATAACTTGGATGTTTTAGAGGAAAGGCGACAAAAAATCCTGACTATGCTCTAAGCAGGCACAATGTTATTATTCCTCAGATGAACACAGAAGTAGAATCTTGCCAGTCCCATAAAGGTGGCTGGGTCATGCAATGGACACAACTACCACACAGAAACACTGATTACCTTGATGTAGGAGCTACAGACATCAATAGCACTGGCCACCTGCAGATGACTGGCTGTGTTGATCACTTCTGTGAGGTTCTCGCCTGAGAGGGTCATCTCCCCACTGTAGATAAACTCTACCACCTGTGGTTCAACACAGAAAAACAATACTATAAACAATAAAGACAGATATGTGATTTCTCTCTGAGATACTTCAGTTAAGAAATTTTGTGTATTCTTGTCCATATTTGTGGTATTAATTTTGTGCATTTTTGTTCAGATTTGTGGTATTAATTTTGTGTATTCTTGTTCAGATTTGTGGTATTAATTTTGTGTATTCTTGTTCATATTTGTGGTATTAATTTTGTGTATTCTTGTTCAGATTTATGGTATTAATTTTGTGTATTCTTGTTCAGATTTGTGGTATTAATTTTGTGTATTCTTGTTCAGATTTGTGGTATTAATTTTGTGTATTCTTGTTCAGATTTGTGGTATTAATTTTGTATTTTCTTGTTCAGATATGTGGTACTGTATATTCATGCAAAGTGCTGACCAAGGTTCACTTGTCATTTATGTTTGTGATAATATGAAGCTCACTAGTGCTACTTTTAGTCTGGTTTTATATCTTTTCATTATATAAACAACAAATAACTTGACTATTACTAGGGGATGTGTTGTGGTGTGTTGTTTGTGACATGGTGTTGGGCTCAAAAAAGATATATGAAATGAGTATCGTACAATTTTCTGTTGGCAAGACAACAGGCCAGACAAGAGGCAGAGAGAGATAACTAGAAGAAGATGGACTGAAGGAACCAATGACAGCCCAAGTCTTCAAAACATCACAGCATACCAAGCAACCGTGAGTGCCTGTACTAGGCTTCCTATTATCTGTTTAAACTGTGATCAGAGTAGGCAAGTTAAACGATGAGAGAGCTAGATTAACCTCAAAACTCTGTGTAATGGCCACCATGAGTAACAGGCACCATACATATCCCCCACTTTCCAATGTAACTTTCCCACCTTTGATGCCAGCGAGTCCTGGATATTGATATCCTGTGTCCACTGTCTGCCAGTCAATCCCTGCCTCATCTTCCAATTTTACCTTCCATACCTGTTCCCTCTGAACCATTAAAGCGTTTAATATGGCCACATGAAGCATTTCAGTTTACACTACACAATACCATCTATGAGCCAGTGGTCTCTGCTCCAGTGTTCAGATCTTGAATAATGCCAGAATGTTTCGCTTCTTTGTCCATATTACTCTAAGAATCTTCCTAACATTTAAGTTCAAAAGCTGAAACTTTTTTTTAAATTGTTCAGGAAGATGTTCACTTCAAGCTGTTTGATGATGTTGAGCCACAGTTTTTTCATATACACCACTAAAATAACACAAAGTAATCAAGAGAAAACACACATATACACTAACACTTTCGAGTCTTTCTTGGACAACAATTGCTAGTGATGAACAGTTTAGTTCATCTCTAGCAAATGTCATGCAGAGAAGAAGACGGCCTGGCTATGTTTGCAAAATGCTTCTTTGACTAGGATAGCTCTCTGATGGACAGCAAATGGAAAAAAGGAGACATGGAAATGAAGAAATATAAAATGACATGAGATATATTATAAGCAGAAAAGCAGCTGACTGGCAGCAATGGAAATCACTTACGAATCCCTTATGTGTTAACAGTGACATGAGGACAGACAGACAGACAGACAGACAGACAGACAGACAGACAGACAGACAGACAGACAGATATATATATATATATATATATATATATATATATATATATATATATATATATATATATATATATATATATATATATATATATATATATATATATATATATATATATATATATATATATATATATATATATATATATATATATATATATATATATATATATATATATATATATATATATGACAGCGAGCGCACGCACACACAAAACAGACCTGCTGTAACCCGTCTGCTGATACTCCTTTGAGATCTATGGTGTCTTGTTTACTCTCGGCCATGACCCCTTTGAACATGACCCGGAAATAGTCGCTGGTGGCAGCAAGAAGGGCACGGTGGACCTGTAGAATAAACATTTTACCAGAACTGATATCACAGAATTCACAACACATCTATATGGACCAATCTCCAGTTACCAGTAGTGTATGGTCAGTATTACGCGGGCTGTCTCTACTTCCACAGGACAACCATCCTGGAACCCATTTGAGGCTGGGTCGAAGTACATATTCAAATACTCATCTCCTGATATACTCAAACAGATACTTATTTACTTAACTCCCAAAAGACATTCAAACACTCATCTCCCAACAGACACTCAAATACGTATATCCTAAAAGTCACTCAAATACTTATATTCCCAACAGACACTCAAATACTTATCTCCCAACAGACACCAAACACTCATCTCTCAACAGACACTCAAATACGTATATCTTAAAAGACACTCAAATACTTATATTCCCAACAGACACTCAAATACTTATCTCCCAACAGACACTCAAATACTTATCTCCCAACAGACACTCAAATACTTATCTCCCAACAGACACCAAACACTAATCTCCCAACAGACACTCAAATACGTATATCCTAAAAGACACTCAAATAATTATATTCCCAACAGACACTCAAATACTTATTTCCCAACAGACACTCAAATACTTATCTCCCAACAGACACCAAACACTCATCTCCCAACAGACACTCAAATACTTATATCCTAAAAGACACTCAAATACTTATATCCTAAAAGACACTCAAATACTTATATTCCCAACAGACACTCAAATACTTATCTCCCAACAGACACCAAACACTCATCTCCCAACAGACACTCAAATATGTATATCCTAAAAGTCACTCAAATACTTATATTCCCAACAGACACTCAAATACTTATCTCCCAACAGACACCAAACACTAATCTCCCAACAGACACTCAAATACTTATATCCTAAAAGACACTCAAATACTTATATCCTAAAAGACACTCAAATACTTATATTCCCAACAGACACTCAAATACTTATCTCCCAACAGACACTCAAATACTTATATCCTAAAAGACACTCAAATACTTATATCCTAAAAGACACTCAAATACTTATATTCCCAACAGACACTCAAATACTTATCTCCCAACAGACACCAAACACTCATCTCCCAACAGACACTCAAATATGTATATCCTAAAAGTCACTCAAATACTTATATTCCCAACAGACACTCAAATACTTATCTCCCAACAGACACCAAACACTCATCTCCCAACAGACACTCAAATACTTATATCCTAAAAGACACTCAAATACTTATATCCCCAACAGACACTCAAATACTTATCTCCCAACAGACACTCAAATACTTATCTCCCAACAGACACTCAAATACTTATCTCCCAACAGACACCTAACACTCATCTCTCAACAGACAAACATTTATCTCCCAACAGAGAAATACTCATCTCTTAAATGATGCTCAAATCCTGATCTCCCAACAGAGACTAAAAAACGTATCTTCCCAACAGACATTCAGATCTTTATTTCCCAAAAGGAAATCAAATACTCACCTTTAAACACACACACAAAAATTAACCATCAATTCTCCAGCATCCCCAAACAGGAGACTAATAAACATCTCTCAACTGTAGACTACTAAATTACCATCTCCCAACAGTGATAACTGATTGATTGGTACCTTACCATCTTTCCAGATGATAGTGTCATATTGGGCATGGGACTCACAGCCAATGGCGATGGAAAGAAGAGACCCACTGACCATTAAAACATCATCATTAATCAGCTAGCCCTTTACAGAACGTCGCTCTTTTCATGGCTGAGAGTATCGCTTTCCTTAGCCAGCTCTCCGACCCAATGTGCTTTTAATGCCAATGCTTCTTTAATGTCTTTATCCATGTTCACAGTGGTCCACCTCTACCTCGCCTTCCACAAACTGTGCCCTCTATCACCGCCTTTTCCAAGCAACCATGACACTTGATGTGGCCAAAATTCTTCAACTTTCAGGACAGGATGCTGTTTATGAGACAGTTCTCCTTGATGTTCAACTCGTTTAGAATGTCGATGTTTTTGCTCTTCTTGATCCAATGTATTCTAAGAATTTTTTAAATAACATTTCAATTCAAAAGCTTCAATCTTTTTCCTTTTAGTGAGTTAGTTGGTGAGAGTTCAGGACTCACAACCATAAGTTGCCACAGGAAACATTAGAACATAAAGGTGACTAATTAATGGACTGATGCAAAATTACATGTGCTGGGCCGAAAGGAGCAGGTACCGCAGCCATAACAACACAACCTGCTAACTGCCCTTTTAAAGGGTCAACAAAGGATGAGTGATGAAGGAGAAGGAGAAGAAGGTTGAGGAACAACAGGGGGAGTAAGAGAAGAAGCCCCAGCATCATACAATCAAACCCTTAAAAGATAACCAGACATTAACCACATATTTTTGGCCCAACAGCTGATACTAACCTCAAAAACTCGCCCTTGTGCCAAAACCTTGAAGTCACAGAGTTCATTTTCTGCACGGAGCTTCTGAAACTGTCGCATGACTATGTCGCCGTAGTCATCCGCCTTGACTTTCTGTGGCTCGGCCATTGTTTATTTTTTTTTCAAGTTGTCCTCAACAGGTACATGGTTCCTGCAGAGGAAAGGGTAAGTTTAGGCAGCAGTTTTCTTAAATTGCATTTAGTGTTAATGTTAAACAGGGAGCCGCTATTCCCCTGTAGACAGAGAGAAGCATGGCTGCCAACCAGATGGTCTATGGCAGTGGTTTTCAATCTGTAGGTCGCGACCCCTTTGGGGATCGAAAGACCATTTCCCGAGGGTCGCCTAAGACCATCGGGAAACACATATTCACTAAAGTTATGAAGAAGCCGTGAAAATAAACGTATGGTTAGGGGTCGTCATAGCAAGAAAAACTGTATTAAAGGGTCGCGGCATAAGAAGTTTGAGAACCACTGGTCCAAGGAATAAATCCGCTGTGGTGGATATTTAGTATGAGGGGGTTTCAAATAAAAGACTCAAGTGTGAGTTTGAATTTATAGTAGCAATGCCATTGTCTTGTAACCTGTCAATATTTCTATGGTCGTGAAGAGTGTGAACTCCCTCATAACACTCTTCCAGTACTAAGGAAGTCACCCTGCAATTACTGGAACTGCTTATCATGCAACGCCTTTATGATCACCCTGTACCCTATCTAGCTGTAGCTTTAACCTATTCTATCCAACCATTACTTCTGTTCCTTTTACCGCATTGTGCAATTATTTGAATTGTTTTGCCGAATACACTATTCCCTTGAGAAGTTACTACCTAGGAAGATGGGAGCAAAAGAAACACAAATCTGGGACTGAAAGGGCTCAGCAGGTGACATCACGGTGCAGACGAACACGGTGATATCATAATGAGTTTAAAGATGACCTCCCCACTTTTGACATGCACCAAACAGGAGCAGAGGTCTGTTATCTGTTTTTTTTTTCTGTGTGTGGATCAGTTAAGGGGTGGGCTATCCTCCGAATAACAAGCACATATTAGGGCGGCCAAAAACATGGCCTCAGTCACCTGTAAATTGCGAACTTCCGGCAACTACTGCCACCGCCAAGAGTATCCCCCACGCTGCTACGCGTGGCGTGGATTGGGCCTAAACTAGATGGCTGGGACTCACGAGCAAAGCTGCAGGAGATGAGGAAGCTGCTGCTCGTGAGTCCCAGCCATCTAGTTTAGGCCAAATCCACGCCGCGCGTAACGTTGTGGCAGATACTCTCGGCAGTGGTGGTAGTCGCCGGAAGTGCACAATTAACATGTGACTGAGGCCCTGTTATGGTGTTTTTCAGCCGCCATAATATGTGCCCATTATTCGGAGGATAGCCAAGGGGTGAAAACAGAAATTATTCAGCAGATAAAGGTCTAATCTGGTGATGTATGCCTGTCAGTCCAGCCTGTGTATGAGTGGAGTAAGAAGTTTCAAAATGGCGTCACTTTTGTGTGCATGCCATGATCGTTAACCGTCTGACCCAGAAGTCATACCGTTTTGCTTCCTACGGCATGAGTAATGATCACTTCAAATAAGAAGTGCTGATTGATCAATACCAATACGAGTTTAACATCAAACGCCTGATGAGCCATTGGTGTGACAAGGGTCCTTAGCTCTTTTCTTTTAATTCACACCACCTCGGGAAATCCGAGATTTCGTTAAAACTTCATGTGAAAGTCCAACAGTATTGGTGTTATGTGTGAAATGAACACCGACCGATCCTATTCCCCTTCCCCAATAATATTGGACTTTCCCGGAAACTCCCCAGGAAATCTCGAAGTCCCCGAGATAGGGTGAATTAAAAGAAAAGAACCAGTATCTCTTTTATTCTTGGTCCCTGGCTTTGTGAACTAATGACGAATGTTTACTGTGTTATTTTCCTAAAAACTGCTCTGTGTGTGGCCTCTATATTCAATCAGTAGCGATGTCATCTACGAAGGCTAGGTGCAACTTATCCTCGGCACTGTTTCTCGTTCATAGCCTCTCAGACTTTGTTCGTCCATATCTTTCTATTTTCCTCCCACTTGTATCTGCTGTCTACCTCTTGCTTTCTTGCCTTTAACATAATCTCTTTTTTTTTTTTTTTATATAAAAGAGTGTTATATCTTTTGAAGGGAGCCCTAAAATAGTTAACAAGTTTGTTTTTTTTTTTTAATTTTTCCTCGAGTCGGCTCCGGGGCCCGACTGGGAGAAACAAGAACAGGCCCGGTTCTTATCCAAACAAGCAAGTCACAAGAATCAACTAACTGGCAGCTTCCTTCAAAGTCGCAGTGCATCTGCCCGAGTGGCAAAGAACAACCAGCCGCATATAAATAAGCCAGTAACACGGATGTACATGCAAAACTTAGGTCCTGGCACAAAGTTGAAGTCCAAATGGATGAACAACCAGGACTTTTCGCCGCAGCTTAAAGCTTATGAACAAAAAAGAAGTGGGGAGGAGGAGGAGAAGAGGAAGAAGAAGACGAGTACAAGGACAAAGAAGAAGAAGAAGAAGAAGAAGAAGAAGAAGAAGAAGAAGAAGAAGAAGAAGAAGAAGAAGAAGAAGAAAGAAGAAGAAGAAGAAGAAGAAGAAGAAGAAGAAGAAGAAGAAGAAGAAGAAGAAGAAGAAAAAGGAGAAGAAAAACAGCAGCAGCAGAAAAAAGAAGGAGGAGGAGCATGACGAGGAGGAGGTATTTATGTCCCTCAGCAATTTTCTTTTCCTTCTGTGTCTTGAGAACCTCTGTACCTGATGGGTGCTCCCCCCCCCCTTGTTGCCCCCTCCCCCTGCAATGAAATACAATCTTCTGTATACATGACCTTAATACACTCAAGCAGCTATGTTTTGGTTTCATGCATTTGCAACATCATAGCATATGTAAGTGCAGTTTATAGAGAATTTTATATGCAGGAGTTCGCCTCCTGTGTCAATATTGACGAATGTGCAGTGAATACATACAGCTATTGTGCAGAGCTGGTCGAGTGTAATATATTCACGTCTGTATTCCTCCATTGTAGGCTTGAGTGAATACATTATCTGCCAAACATATTCTCACACCTATTGGCCTATTGTTCCCCTTTTAATATTACGTCCCAGCACCGCCCCATCACCCCTTTTCCCTTGGAAATCCACCTTCTGTAATGAAACACACTCTATATATTGCTATATAATGTTATGTTTTATAGATACAATACAACTGCTGAGTAGTTAGTTGCAAGGGCTGTATATAAGTCGTGTCTGTGTGCCCAATTATTATTTTTTTTTACCCTTAAAAATACTGTTCGTTTGTTCGTCTGTCGGCTCTGTGGCTAAGTCGATGCGAACGCTTCGTAATGCCGGGTTCGATCCCAGCTGCAGGCTATGCGCCTTGAGTTGGTTTCGACAGTGGTATCAAGAAGGCCAACCGTCCAAAAAGCAATGGCAAACTACTGGACGTAAATTTGCCTAGAAAAACCACACAACGGCTAGGGGCTGTTGAGGTTGGTTCTGCAAAGTCCTGTAAAGGATACGCAACTAACCTTGTTCGTCTAAATAGCACACAAATGTAACGAAAATATTTCTGCACTTTGAGTCTTTCTTCCTAAGACTTACAGCACATTTAAACAAGATTTAAAAAAAAAAAAATCAAAATTGAAGCTTTAATGAACATTTGCATTACACAGAGAAAATTAGGATAAGAAATTCTAGTACTGAAACAAAATAATAAAAACGTTTGAATGTTGATAAGAATGAATAGTCTCCTGCGATTCTATCCAATTAAAGCACGCATGCTCGGTTTAATTAATAAAAAAAACTTTTTCTTCAAAGTCTGAGTGCATCTGGACGAGAGGCGAGAGACCAACAATGTGCTCAAAAATAAGACACAACTGCGAAATAGATGTGCATGCAAAACCTAAGTTATGAAACACACAGAGACGTCCGCCTCGAGTGCTGTAGGTCCCGGGTTCAAACCCTGGTTAAGACTGACATTTTTTCACGTGGACTTCTAGTAATTTCCCTGGTCTGTGGGGAGTAAGATCGGAACGCCCGTGTGTATTGTTGCGCACGTAAGAAATCCCGTGGCATATGAAAATCGAAAAGAGTAGACTTACGGCCCAGCCCTGGCAAAATTGTTAGTTAAAAATCAACCCAAAAGTATTTCAGGATCCTCGCCGGTGCTACGGAGTTTGTGTACTGCGATGGAGATTATTCGGACTCAGGCTTGAGTTTTAAGTAGAACAGAGCACTTATGTGTAACTATTCTTGTGCCATGATTTTGATCTGTTGTATAAACCAAACGAATATATCTCCAGAAGTGGTTGAACGACTGACTTTCTGCACAAATAAACAGATGGGAACCCTTGAGGATGTAGAAGCTTTATATATGTGTTGTCCATCAAGATGATGATGACCACTCTGTTTCATCAAGTATGAGTACAAAGATGACTGACGAGGTCGATGCAGGCCCGAAAAGTTTTTGGACAATGAGGACAGGGAATGAGTGTTGTGCCAGGGAGGAGATCTCCTGCAGTCACCTTTCTGTCCATCCTTTTCCTAATCAGTCTTGCTGTTCTGTCTGCTTCACATGTAGTGCGCGCCCTTGTGTAGAGCTGCACGCCATGCATTTCGGTCTTGAGAGGCAGCCTCCCAATTGGTATGATGGTTAATGAAACGTCTTGTCCCCTTAGTGAAATGTTCATTTTTTTGCAGCTCTAGGTTGCACCCCCATGCACATCAGTCTGTACGGGGATACAGGGTCATGTTTTTAAGCGTGCTCCTCGGTATGGTAAGTTCAGCGCATGGCTTTCATAACATCACTTCTGTCAAGTACTGGACCAGCCATAGCAACCGCAGTTTCAGCAAGACAGTTTGCACGCTCGTTCCCGTGAACACCCGCATAACCTGGCACAAAGATAAAGGTTAGGGCAGCTATTCGTGAAGAGCTTAGTGTTGCAATCCATTCTTGTCTGATAAATCCAGCTAGGATTCATTTAAAGCTTATTCATCGAGTCACTAAGAAAGCATAAGTGTGTGAACTTTTGAGTAAAGATGCTAGTTGTAACAGGAAAGGCACCATTCATCTCCTTGACAGTTTTGCCTCTTAGGCTT